TAATTCCCCAAACAATCTTACCTGCTTTTTCTCATTTGAAGTAAGGTTAAAACTTTAAGTCAACTAAACTGGCAAGAATACAGAAATAATCTGTATATTCTTCTTCCACACAATGGGAAACTAATTTAAGTTCCCAGTCTAGCCTACAGCCCTGAGATTTCCTGGCAGTTTCCCATACAAACCTTGTTGCTTGCCCCCTTTTCTTGTTTCCAAGTAAGACTATGGTCTTCATGTTATGGTTAAATCAAAATAATTCCAAAGGGCCATTGGAGATTAGATTCTAATTAATGTACCTTTGATGGAGTTGACTTTTAAAACATACCTTGTAAGAAAATAGCTAAATGTGTAAGTGGTGACAGTCTCAGCCTCAAAGTTGAGTTATGCCAACTTCCACATGAAGAAGTAAAATTATTAGCCATTATTTGCTGGACAAAAAGGGTCCATGACAAACCCTTGACTTCAAATATTCTGCCTTACTGTTGCATCCAACCTGCCCTATGTGTCTCTTTGTATGAAAATCTTCTCTGAAATTGTCTCCATTCTCTATGCTAACATTATGCCATGATAGTTAGACATATGGTGATTTTCTTTTATAGAAACTGTAAATGTCTTGTAATACGAAATTTCCACTGTGTGAGAGCACAAAATGCTGTACAGGTAGTCCTCACTTATCAATGATAATGGGAACTCTTTCATTAAACAACGCAGCTGTAAGGCACGACGTCACATGACTACACCGATTTTTGACAGCAGTTCCAGCAGTCCCAGTTGCTATTGTTAGGCAAATCCCACATGGTCACAGCGTCTGGCAGTCACATGATTGTCATTCTGGGACCTCCTGCCAGCTTCCCCATTGACTTTGCTTGTTGGAAGCTGGCAGTGAAGGTGACAAATGGTGATCACATGACCATGGGACACTGCGATGTCGTAATTGTGAGTGGTCATGAAGTGCTTGAATTGCAGTCACATGACTGCAGGGATGCTACAACTGCCACAACCATAACAATCCATTGTAAGTACCCGTCATTCAGCACCATTGTAACTCTGAATGGTCGCTGAACAAGTGTATGTTAAGCGATGACTACCTGTACAAGTTCAAGTTTTCCTTTTGTTTCTAACTTTTCCTCTGATCTTTCAGAGTGGGATCTGGAGCTTATGAACAAGTAGTGATAAAACGCTAGAAGAACTGGACTAAGTTGATGGATTTCCAGAATTTATTTCTCAATATTATCAAAGATGAGATCTTCTGAAAGCTGGCATACACTGGCCTGAATCTTATCAGTTTAGATTCTTTATATTGAAAATACCCTCTTCTAAAACCACCTATGATATAAGGGCAATTTTCCATCTTTTAGTATGTTGCTAATTTGTTGAAAAATTTGTTGATGGACTTGTTGCATTGTTCATATGTAAATCAAATTGCTTTTTTGGAAAGAGAAAAAATTCTATATAATTGAACATATATTGAAATCAGTTGTCAGTAAGTGGAAATGCCTTCAGTAGTGTTTCCTATAGGCAAATCAGAATAGGAAATGGGAAGTACTGATTCAAGGAAGTGTTTTGAGAAAGTAATACTTTTATAAATATGTGTAGCTTTAAAATGTAATATGCATTTCAGTAATGTGTTTTATTGTCACTTGAAAATGAGTGACTAACCCTAAGTTTAAGAGGATTTATGTGCATATTGTATTACTGTTTGAACAGTACTCAGAGTCAAGTAAGTGCTGTATTCTGAAAACTATATTTGAAAAGTGTAAGGTTGTATTGACTGACATTTGAGCTGTACCAAAATCATCACAGGTTTGAATGAGAACTCTGAGTTCATAGGATGATTTGCAGAGAAAGCTTGGAGAATAACATTTGAGAGTGCCTTGTTTCTAAGGAAAAGGGAGTTACAGACTATTTTATTAAGATTTAATAATAAATAATAAACAGCTATAAAGAGAAGCACTTTATAAAGTTTACTTCAGTCCATGTGAAATCCATTCTTTTAGTTGAATTTCTGACTTGGGCCCAACTTAAATCAGACAAATGATGTAATAGCAATTCCCTTAGTTTTTGTTGCATTATGTTTGCCAGTCATAAAGTACTGTAGCTGTATAGATCCATGCATGAAGGAAACACTTGCTAAATGCAACATCACCTGTGTAAAAACGTACATGGATGAGCGCTTTGCTCCTAGCACTGTCCAGTTTTAAATTGCTTTTTTCCATGCCTTCTTAAATAGGACTTATTTCAATGAGACTTACACAGAAGAAATATCCTGGTAGAACTGTGATGTATAAACATTTGTATAAACAAAACAATATAATTTGCCTATGCAACAATTTCAATGAAGCATTATCTGACAGCAGAAACATCACATTTTATTTTTGCAAACGGTATGAAAACTGCCAATAGTTTTGAACTGTATCAATAGTTGTTTAATAGCTGGTCTCATGTCTTTAAAAAACAGAAATTGTTATACCTTTAAAAACAACTTTAAATAAGCTAATTATAGGTATCTTATTTAATGTTTTCTTATTTTACTGTTTTCACGGTATCAGTGTTTCTTTTTGAAAAAATGAAAGTTATTTTTAGTTAAATGAAGGATTTTTAATGTTTGAAATACTGTTTTTATAAATGTCACAGCTTTTTTGTTGAAATCACATGTGTGAACTCTTAAAATAATACATTTCTTTATTATGGTACCCAAAAGTATTCTATTATGTTTCAACTCGTTCTAACTTGATTTTAAGTGGATTTTTTTTAAGCTGCTGTTAAAATAATGGAAAGAGAATGCACAAGGTTTATTTTGAAATACACTCTAATTTACTTTGAACTTTCTAGTAGGGTGGTTAAGTAAACTCACCTAAAATAGTGCTTGCATTTATTGAGGAATATTCTTAGTGCTGGAAAATAATTGATCTAGAGAAATAATAAATCCATACAAGAATGCACAGGTTAAAATCAATGACAGGGTCACGTACTCATAATGAGAAATTATCACTTTCAACCAAATATTCCACAGTGAATATGATTTGTACAGTCAAATGTAATATTAGTCCACATAAAGATATCCAATTTTGCTCCTTCTAGAAATAGTAGGAAGGGAATTTACCTCCTGCACTCAACATGTTGGTGGTAGCTCTTTTGATTCCATATGCTAATTCTATGTAATGATTCTTCTGTGTAAAGTTTGAACAAATATCATGCACTTTTATTAATTGTACCATTTTAATGAAGTGATTCCAGTACCATATGAGACATGGGAAATGACCTTCATATTTATATGGCATTAAATTTGTGTAAACTATATACTGATATGCTAATGTTTTTATTAAAATCAACATTTTTATCATAAAATACGTAATTGTAAAGTGAACTTACAAATTCAATAAAATTTGTCTTCAACTTCTATTGGTGTTATTTTTTGTTAATAATAATCATACAGAGATTTAAATATTCTTCCTGTATTTCTTCTTTATTCTTTTTTCCTAAAATAAAAATTCCAAAGAGAGCAGGTTACCTTTCCAGAAAGCAGCATGCAGAAAGAGGGGTTTTTAAATTAACTGCATCCCATTTTCAGTTTTATTTTTTTAAAAGCCACAAGCTTCCCCAAAGAACTGGCTTATTTGGGCCAATTGCTTTCCTTAGAATGCAAATTCCATTCAGGGGGTTCCATTCTCTTCTATTGGAACTTTTAAATCCCTTTGTTAAATCCCTAGTGCTAAAGGTAATATTGACCATATATTAATAATTCACTTCTTTGCTAAATATAGTGAGAATTAGTATATGATGAACTTGGAATGGAACCAATGCTTTTATTATTTTACTTTTTCATAAAAAATAGATAAGCTAAAGATGAGTTGGCTTATCTAGCCGCATTGCCTTCTCTTTTCTCATGAATATTAGTCTCTCTAATTTACTGGTCTAAATTAAAATCCAGAATTTAAAATTCCTGAAGCAAAAGAAAGCCCATGGATTTCTGCAGGAGCAGGGGAGAGGAAGGAAGAATGACGAAGTGTGTTTCAAGGCACCACAATGCAAATTCCACCCCTTTTAGTACATCCGTTGCAATGTTCCATGCATGTACATAAAGGATCGAGCTTGCATCACATTTCATCACTGACAAAACACCTCCGAGAGACCCCAGCTAATGAGACATCTCAGCCCCAACAATGACGTATTTTAGTAAAGAAGAATTAAGAAGACACAGTTAAGCAGAGTCTGGCAATGGGGAGAGGATGCCAAGACATATTTCTTCCTCTTAATCTATTAAATAACTTGGCTATCCAGCTTTAGAAAAAAGAAAAGCTACAGCCATGAAGCCAGACACTATGTGAGAGCTCTCCATTATATTATGTTGCATAATACACAACTCATTGGTAAGACATTTGAGGAGGGGGGGTAAAATAGCCCCTCCCAGTGCTTATGTTGATGTCACAGTTGATACAAGTACAAATGTGTGTCAGATGTTCTGTCTGGCCATTTTGTAGAGTCCATTTCAGAGTATAAGGTCTGAGGATGTGGATACTTGTAGCTATGTATGGCCTTTTGACCTCCTGTTCATTATGGCTGATTTCACTGACTTTATGTATTTATTAATCAATCAATCAATCATTTATCCAGATAAACATATTTATCTGGAATATAATACTGTAAATGCAGTAAATATTTGCAGGGACAGAGGCTGGATACTTTAACAATGGTAGCAGGTACACTTCTCAAGAAATCCACTCTAAGCCTTTTGATATTTAAAAGACTCATCCACTTCCTACTGTCTCTTTAGGTGAGACTCACCTGAAGGTGGTTAAAGTGCCCTTGGAATAAATTATCTGGATCTATTCCACTCCAGGTTTAGGCCTGGTCATTGGAGTGAGGAAGCACTGATTGCCCTGGTTGATGTCCTTTACAAGAAAAGACAGGGAAAGGCAACTTTCTTGGTTCTTGATCTCTCTGCAGCTTCTAATTTCCTGACTACTTCTGGGTGCTATGTGGCACAGTATTATGGAACTGAGGGAACTGATTCCAGTACCTTATGTTCTTACATATCCATTGTTATAGAGTCTGATATGGAATGGAACTTATGTTTGCTGAACCTTACCTGACTTTCTGTTAGATTTATGTTTGCCACATTTGCATGTCACATGCCATTAGAGTTTCTTGACAAAGCTAATTATGAATCACATATACTTGGCATGCTATTTCAGTTTATTTTGAGCATTTTCATTCTATAACATTTTGAAATCCTATGTGTTTTACCTATAAAAATGTTCACTAAATATACTGTCATGGGAAGTTTCCCTTGAAACCATGTTTGGTATCAGCTCTTCACAGGAGTATGGGGGGAGGGACAAAGATTGTACAAAATTAGCGTTACTGTCTAACAATATTTAGGAAAGCATGCCAGTTGCTATTTGTGGATGAATGTAATAGAACTGTTCACTGATACATTAGAAGAATAGCATAAGCACTTATATGCATCACTGCTGTGGGAATCATAGCAATATTTCAATACTATAGTTACATGAAAATCATACTTGTCAACAGAATGTACAAAGAGCAGTCTTTATACTTCTATGTATGAGGAGATGGGGATGAGGATATTCTATTGCAATGGAGAAAAAAAACTATTTGATACATAGCAGTTTAATGACATCAAAGTCAAGACTACACCTTACAACTAACAGTGTTTTAGAATCGGAAAAAAGAACTGGGGCAGGATCAGAAAACAAGGTCAATTTCTATCATTCCTGCAATGGTAGAATTGGAAGGTAGGATTGAAAATACCTGTATAGCTTTTCCCAGCTGCAAATCAATCACTATGTACACTTACTTGGAACTTTCAGAAACACACAACATCTAATTGACAAGTTATTATTGTATAACACAGAAACATTAAGACATTTGGGGAAAATGTTTAAAAGCACAATACATGATTACAGCTGGGTTTAGTTTGTTAAACGTACTTACATTTACCATACTTCAGTATTACTAGCACATACTTTAGTAGTATACTAATTGTTTTGAACTTTTGTACAGCAATCTATACATTTTAGTACAAAACTCCTTAAATTTTACTTTTTCTAGTACTAAAATTATGAAAACAATTTTTAAGCTTTTGTTCCAATAACATTCTTTTTTTGCTTTGTGGTTAGACTAACTTATTTTCACATGCATTCAAACGTACTCAGAACTATGTAGTGAAACTCATGGATGGGTAATCTGCACCCTTAGACCCATCACTGTGCTTCCAATTATTTTTAGCAAATTTGAAAAGCTGTATTGCTTACTTTGCTTTGAAATTATTATTTTCTGTTACACTTTTATGGAGGTTATGGGTCCCCCTCCTTAAGTGTTGCCTAGTATAACATCGCCTCACCCACTCTGTGGGCAAAGGCATCATGGGAACAGACTGCTTTCCTCAGCTGAAAAACAAAATCAAGTGCCGCCCTTGGACACTAAGAAGTTACTCAACCATCTATAATCCAATTTAATGTGAAAATGTAACACCTGATTATAGTGTTTAAGTCCATTTTTTTAACCAGCAATTACCAGCATTTCAATTACTAGACTCCTTATTCTGTTAATGACAGGAGCAGTTACTTTTAATTATTATCGCTATCCTGCTCTTCATCTTCATTTTCCATCTCAATCATCACCGCAGATCCATCATGGCTTAGTGTAATTTTGCCAGTTATGAGCTTATTAAGCGTTTCAAAGGTGCCACAAAGTTTATTCACTTTGGAAAAAGAAAAGATTTTTGCAAGAGGTACATAGATAATATTTCCCCTAGCCAGTGGCTGCATATTTTTACTATCAGCTTCAGAGAAAGAAAAATTGTCCAAATACTTCAGGAAACAAGATTGTTGAAATCCGGATTCTGTCCCAATAAGATCATCACAGTGCTTTTTATATTCAGATTTTCTGTAGTCCAGTTGTCTCCTTGCAATTATCTCTGCTGCTCGAACAACTTCATTGACCACTGCATTCTGCAAATACTTTTCATCTTTAAGGCTTGGATATATGACTTTGAAAACCTTTCTCATGAAGAAACAAAATCCATTTATATAGTACATCAAATGTTTAAAGACTTTGCCTATTTAGCTTTTTGCATTTTGAACTATACTCAGCTTTAAACTTTGTGGCAAGCTTACAGTACTTCAGAATCAAATTAAAAACAACTAATTATTCATAGTTTTCTGTGTAGACACCCTTCCCACCTTAAATGTACAATGGGTACAGTTTCTTCCTCAGAGTTCTTACTCTTCTTCAATTGGAAAAACATTACAGATTACACTGATTCTTCTTTTTTTTAGTGCCTACTGTCATATTTCTCCATTCTCCTTGCGCATTTTTATCCATTTTTTAAAATTCTTATTTACCCTTTGGCATTGGTCTGCCTTTGAGAACCATTTGACTGACTTCATGGCTTATGGCCTTGAGGTCTTCTTTTTGAAAGTATTCAAGCTGTGGGATTAAACCAACCTTTCCCAACATCTTGCCCTCTAAATGCACTGTAACCACAGTTCCCAGCCAGCATAGCCAATCCTCTTAACATATGACCAATAACATTTCCAAGACAATGACTATAATCATTACACTATACTGAAATGTTCCTTAACGTAGACGTCTTCATACAGGAGTAGGCAGCTACTTGGTAAGAGCTATAATTTAGCCCTCCAAACTTCCAGTGGTGCAGCAATATCACTGTATGGAACAAGGCCTAAAAATCTGATCCATTTTATGTTTTCTTGGAGACCCTTAATGAGTAGCTAGAAGTGTTTAGCCTCATGGAAGCCTTATTCTCCCATTCTCACCCTTAAAATGCCTAACTCCTCTCTTACAACTTATTGTGCCACCTAAAATTATTAATTTTGTCACCAAATAGAGTATGGGAGAGACACATGTAGCCTGGGGGTTCCCACTGCTATCAAGTTCTATTTATGATGCATTGTTACACCCAACACTGAGTTCCTGTTCTTTTGGCTCTTTTTAAGGAAGGCAACTTTTTCCCTAAATAGGTAGTCCTCACTTAACAACCATAATAGGGATTGGAAAATTGGTCATTAAGCACAACAGTCATTAAGCAAGTACCACGTGACCAGATCCGATTTTACAACCATTTTTACAACAGTCATTAAGCAAATCACATGGTCATTAAGCAAATCCAGCTTCCCCAATGGACTTTTTTTTAAGAGGAATTCGCTTAACAACCACGCGATCTACTTAACAACCATGGTGATTCATTTAACCATCGTAATAAAGGTCACAAATCATGATCATGTGACTGTGGGGGTGCGATGGTCATAAGTGCGAGTACAGGTCGTAAAACATTTTTTCCAAGGCTGTCGTAACTTCAAACCATCGTTAAATGGGCATGCTATTTGGTGAATGGCAGGAGCCCCATTCTCGCAGTGATTCAGAAGACCTCATTCTCCAAATCACACACCCCATTCCTTCTCCAAAAAGCACACCCGTTCTCACAAGTCGTGGAGAAAACCAGAAGGTTCCTGAAGGATCACAAAAATGGGGCATGCTATTTGGAGAAGGAATGGGGGGTGTGATTTGGAAAAGGAATGGCCTGAGCGGCTTAGAGAATGGTGCGAGCGGCCCAGGGAAGAAGGCCTAGCATGGCCAGCTGCTCCCTTGCATACAGTAGGGTCAGGCGGGGCCTGCCTTGTCAGCACCGGGAAGAAAACGGCAAAGGTCAGCTGGATGCGGCAGAGCCTGTGGAATGCAGGGCAGCAGGAGCAACTGGGGCTTTGCACAATGGTGCTGGGGTGACTGGCCTTAGTTTGGGGCTTGAGGCGGCATTTCTCAGTGGCAGCAGTGGCTCTGGGGCTGAAGTAGATGCCTGGGGCAGTGGCAGCTGGCTGAGATTACTGAAGGCCCTGGGCCTCTACTTCAACCCCAGCACTGCCACTGAGTGCTGCTGTGCAGGGCAGCCAAAAAGGCATAGATGGTGGAGGGAGATAGGCAGGTGGGGGGAGTGGCAGCACCCCTGCAGTCGTAAGCACTGCTGGGCCAGGCTGGGGCAGCTGAGGCTTCCCAGGGCACAGTAGCTTTTCACCATGCTGCTGGGCTCGGCTGGGGAGGCTGAGGCTTTGTGCTGCACTGCAGCACCCCCCAACTTGTGAACAGGCTGCACCAGGCCTCCCAGAGCCTACCCCACCCCTCTGTGGCACCCCCCCACTCCTTACCTGGGACTCCCTCCACTTAATGACTCGCAATTTTTGGTTATCGATGGCAACCAGGAGTGCCGGGATTGCGGTCACTAAGCAGTGGTGGTCACATGATGATTCGCTTTACAACTGCATCACTTAGCGATGGAAATTCCAGTCCCAATTGTGGTCGTTAAGTGAGGACTACCTGCAATTGTTTTATCAACTAGCTTTCTTCTCATAATTTATTCATTTAAGCATTACTTGGATTAAAATAATTAATTTTAAATAAGACAGCAGCTGACTTTCCTACTCTACCTTATTAATTGTTGCTCCATGAAAAACCAAGTTCAGAGTGAGCTACTGAACATAAGACTTAGACTCAAATTCAAACTCATGCTATTGGGAACATTAGCACCAGTGCATAATTTTTTTTAAATGTAGTGTAGGTAGTAATCTTATTCCTTCCAAATGTTTTTAGTTTAAATTATATAAGAATAACAGTAGTTCTTAAACTCCAGTTGACAGGTCTGAATGGTTTTCCATACTCTTACTTCCTCAATCACAAAACACATTTATTTGAAGACAACCTGAAATCAATAGAACTTCTTTTCCAATAAATATTTTAACATTTATAGCTACTCTAACCCAAAGTGCATTTGACATTAAAGAGGCAGAAGCCCAGTATTTTAACTCCTGTTATAATGACATAATTAAAAGATACATCTTTCCAGAATTGTTCCTTGAAATCAAAACTGACTCACTTTATAGAAGCGAAAGATCTACTTACAGTTTTATAAACACTTCTCTGATATTTCTCAAATCTCTCAGGCTTGACATTTCTTAGGTTTTTTCTTACAAACACACCAATTTGTGTACAAAATCCAACATCTTTCCCACAAGGCGGCGCTCCTACTCCAGTAAACTCTACTGTATAATCATAACGAGCAGCAGCATCAAGAGCCCTAGGTTTGTGAGAAAACAAAAATCAAGAAATTTCAAGGGATTTATTGTAACAAACAAGTATGTCACACATTCTAATTTTCTCTATCTACTCTTACATGCTTACAGTATGGAAATATTTCAACTGTACCTAGAGAACAAGAACAGAGCCCAATAGAACAAATCATTTTGTTTACTTGGAGTGTCACAACAATACATGATCAGGCTTATGAAAACAGGTCACAAAGGAAAACAGGTCACAAAGGAAAAATGGGTAAGGCGTTCTGGTGGGAAGGGCAATCCATCCCTCCTTTTCCATTATCACTGCTATGTGAATGTACCGGATATAGAAGTGATGGAGACAGCAGTGGCTACTGGAAATAAAGCTACCATTGTACCATGCTTCACACATGCAAAACTAGTAAGCAAAAAATTGTCTCTCCAGTTCTGGAGTGCCTCTTTTTGTTTTGTTTAACCACATGTATTTGGAAGTAAATAGGGGCTGCAGTCAACAACTGTTAATTCTGTAACCTCAAAAAGAGAAGGGCAGCAACTTCCAGAAAAATATGGCCCAGTCTCTTCTTCATACAGTTAAACATGCGGCAAACAGCTAAAACCACAACCCCGCCAGGATAGTGAACAGGCTTTCATAGATAAAAGAAAATTGTGGTATTGTGAACTAGATGCACCTAGGAGCTATGATGAGGCAAGAGTAATTCAAGAGCTATGAGACAGTATTTCCGTATATTACCAGAAAATCCCATTTATTTCTATGAGAAAAGTTAAGATGATAAATTGTACTCGTCTACGTGTCTTTTAAAAATCTGGGTTCCCACAAATATATAGAGTGAATGTGATTGGCCTGCTATATCATTTTCCACTTGCTTTCCATACATTGGGGTTGTTGTTAAATCAACTAGATAGGGTAATCCAAAATACACAACACTGTCTACCCTATGGCTATACTTTTTTTTTTTTTTTTACTGTCACCATTTCAAAAATGTTTATAAGTACAGCATATACAATTGGTCTGATCTGATGTTCATTGTCTCCTGCTTCATTTCTAGTCTCAATTCAAAGTGCTGGTGTTAACTTATAAACTACATTATCTCATGGGACTAAATTATTGGAAGAAATGTTTTTTTCTATACATTCCTACTCATGCACTGTCATCTTTTGAGATCTAGGGCAGGTAGCACTTCCTGACTTTAGAACACCCTCTCAAGTGAAATACATGTAAGTATATACTATTTCTCTTTCTAGCACTAGGCAATGACCTTATAATTCTCCCAGACCTTTACTATAATATTTCAATATTTTAAATTTATGCATTGCAAAAAACTGTTTAATTAATTTGGCTGCTGTTAGGCTTTGATGGTTTGTATCTTTATTAGTATTACTTCAATGTCCTTTTTCATATCCATGATTTAAAGTGATATAAGCCTGGGAAAACATGGTTAAGGGTAGCATATACATTTTTAAAATAAAATAAATTAACAGCAAGGAAGAAGAGAGACTTTCCATACATTCAGAATTATAAAAGCTATTAAAAGCTGTTTCATTTTATTGCAATTTATTTTTATGTTAAAATATCTACCATTGTTCTTTATTCTTTCATAATAAAACATATAAAAGATTGAATGAACTTACCAGTTCTGAAATTGTGCTCGGTTCCATTCAAATTTATGATCTGGATGTCTAAATAATGATACAGTTTGAAGTAAATAATTGAACTCTGAGTTTGGTGTGCTAATTACAATCATGGCTGGAGACATGAAACCAAATACTACTTCTGGAAATTTCTCCAAATCTTGTGCCTCTAGGTGTTCTATTCTGAAAACACAAAGTTGTAATGAAGAATTTTTTACTTCCCAGATCAAGTGAACATATTTACTTTAATAATGTGACAGGACTTCACTGTAATTGTTATGATGAGCTAAAGGCAGAGACCGGAACTGAAGCTGATCATCCATATTCAAATTTTGGAGACAGCAGGAAAGTCAATGGCACAGGAGAGAAACCAGATTCTTTCTGGGAGGTTTTAGAGAAGGCAGTCAGGATAGGATCACTGTCCCGCTTGCCCTGAATCACAAATTAACTTTAATATACTGCACTGCGAGTATAAAAATTGGGTTGTCAGCTTCTTTAACTTTCCACAGTATTATTTATGCTGTTCTATTGTTTAAGAAATTAAAAAACTAAAAGGGGACATTCCTTTTTTATGAGACTTTGCTAAGAACCAGGAAATATAAAGTTATAAATATATTAAGAAAAGCAGTGTGTTTTTAGTAAACTGAGTTTGATTTTTAAACATTCATCACATAATATGACCTCAAAGGAATACCTACAATTCAATGCATGTTACCAAATCAAAGCCCAGCATACAGGGATCTTTGTGAGCAACAGAACCCTGAAGGAGGGTAACTGTCAGTGGTCTTTCACTTGGCTGAAGATAGTCACTAGGAAGGGGAGACAGCGTATGCCTGAAAGCAAAGAAATTGTACAGGATGAAAGCACTATTTTGTCTGTACATTTACCCTTTTCACTCTGTGTGTCCTGTGCATCGTGAATGTATAATTCAGCTCAAGTCATTCAACATGAAAGAGGACTGTGCAAGTACAAGATGCTTGAGTTTTAATATACTCCTCTATCCAGCACATTGTGGGTACAATCTGGATAATGTCTGACTGGTTTATGAATGATACGGATACTGATTCTTTGGACACCGACAGATCTTCTTGCTCTACTCCCCATATTCCTTTTTGTGACATATGTTGGACTAATAATATATTGAATAAAACATTCTTAATTTGTGGACAGTTAATAGATTTAATATGGCATAATGTTTTGTGACTATTGTCCATCTGAATATTTTCCTGAGAGGAACGAGGAATGATAGCATGTTTTCCTTATTCATTAAAGATTGTAACATGAGGAAAGATGCCAAAAACAGTATGTCAAGAAAGCACAATTGTTTATATATTACTTTCTGATTTCACTGTGCTGGAGATCTTAATAGCAATGAAAAGCATACCAGTTTATCCATGTGAGAAAGTTCAGAGACAAATGACTACATTCTTTCCTCCTCCCTCAAACTCCAAAATGCTATAATCAACAACTCTCAGTTAGGCACTGACCTATCATATCCATATTTTTTAAGAATGCTTCAGAAATGGAAAATAAAACTCCTTATGTTTCATTCTCCTCCTTCTTAGGCAATATATATATATATATATATATATATATATAT